ATCTTCCCCTAGAAACTTTCAGACATGGATCTTCTTGAAAGTAGTCTTATATCGTTTTAGAATTAACTGCAGATTAACTACAGCTACCAATAAATTGTGTAACACTGACATGCCATTGTGAATATTCAGAGGAGATCCTCTGGACTCAGTCCAAAAGCAAGACTAAAACTGTCCCTAACACTTAAACTTCTGTCACAGAAATTTAAAGTAGGATGCCTGTTTGTTTTTTTTTTTTAATTACACATAAATAGCACTGGCTCTGAAAGGGGAACGACAAACTCATTCCCCTTTTTTCCTCCCTCAACACTCATGACTTTTGCGCAGCTTTTATCCCTCTGTTCTAATATAGTCAGAGATAATTAGGTTTAGTTTGCATTTTGGCTTTACTTACTTCCAGGCTTTGTAGAGCAAACCAAAGGAAAAAAAAAATGGTTACATCAATTTATTAAAATTAAATAATATAATCAGTTCCCCAGTAGACTTTTGCCTGAAAAGAAAGTGCTCTCAAAATGAACTCTGCTCAGACAAGCACTTTCACTAGCAACTCCTCCTCTGAGCCTCCTGACAGCCTGTGTTCCTCGGAGTGTGTGCATTTAGTGTAGCCCAGCAGCAGGAAGAGATCCTCTGTAATGCTTGGCAGAAAGGATTTGGATTACTATACTCATGAGTCCTAATCCACCCCATCTGCCATGTGTTTTGACACCCCCATAAATCCTCTAGCCTTTCATAAGTAGTCATTTTCATCTGGGGAAAAAATGAGCACTGATTTAGATCAGATTTAACATCTCTCCTGCCTGCTAACAGTCAAGTACCACCACTGCAATTTTAGTGTTTGTGACTGGAGAAACCTTTTTCATCTCCTTACCAAAATCCATCTGCATGACCCACCCACATTGCACATTTCCCCTGCATTAAAACCTAATTCCTCACTCCATTATACTGCTCTTAAATAAGGCACTGCAGTGGATTTCTTGATTGGGCAGCCCCTGCCAAAGCTCAGTCATCACCTAAGTGGTATCCAAAGAATTTTCAAAAGACAGTATTCTTTTAACCTCACCTTGTCCATTTCACAAAGCAGCATTAAATACATCACATGATCAAGACAGTCCAGATATCAAAATCTGCAGAGCTAACCACACATAAAATGCTATTTTTAGGACTTAGGAAATGCAGAAAAGAAAGTGGTTAAGTCAACAGACATTACTCACAGGAGTTTCTTTTCCAACTTAGAGCTCCTTGAAAACATGTTGGCTTGCAAACTACAGCTTCTGAAATTAGCAAAATGCTGCCAAATCACTACACTGACAGTATCTTGTTTCCACAATAGGTAGGGGCTCCTGGATCACATCTCAGCTGTTTGTCCTGAACTAGAGTTCAAAACATATTCCCACCAGGGATGAAGCTATTTGCCACAGCCGCTACTGGGTTGTAGCACTGAGCTGGAATCAGCCTTTACTGCTCCCTTTCCACCTGCCCAGTTTGTTCCTACTTGCATGACCCAACTGAATAAGGTTCACTCATTTATGCTGGTGATATAACAACAGCTGGCCTGAAGGTCTGGTCTTACTCCGAGCTGGAACTCTGTCTGTAGCTTATCCAATATCGTACCGAACTGTAAGTATGAAATTAAATTTACTTCTAGTGTTATGAACCCATGCAATTCTTCCTCAAGGAAGTCAGTACATTCATAAAACAGCTGAAGATTATGTGTACATAATAAC